TCTAATAATACCGTTAAATACAACATAATATTTTCCTTTCTTTTCTCCACAAAATTATTGGCCTTTTCTCCATTCTTTGTATTTCCTTTTCCTTAAGCTTATTTTCCTTTTCACGTAATTTAATCCCAAGCCAGCATAATCTTGTTGACATCCTATTCTTCTTTTTATCCAGCCTAAAATAACCACACTACTTCACGCTTCTTTATTCCTTCTTGAATGTCGATGTTTCATTCTATTTATTCTGCCGCTTCACATCAGTGCTGACGAACCAATACTTCCTGTCAGTTTTCAATCTGCATGCATGCGTGCCCATTTTATCTTGCAAAACGGAAGCCACTGCTATCATATCTCTTAACTCTCCACATTCAACTCCATGAACTGCTGTCCGTTTGTAGTCTCTTTTATCTGCTCTAAAACAGCCACAGACCATTACTCAGCAACCAAGAGTCACATGCGCTTCTCCTTCTCTTCCTATATATAGAGATCAACAGCGCTCCAGCATCCCTACCGATCCTCAGCTCACCAGAATCCCTCCCTCGCCTTTTCTCAAGCTGTAGTGCCATCGCATCCGCGGCGCCGGTATGGAGCTTCCCCGTGCTGCCCTCACATCAGTGTGAAGATACGTTGGCCTGCACTGCATCTCTGATGAACATCATCTCACCGTGCCATGATGTATCTCATTCCTGTATCATCAAATGAGTCCTCGCCGAGCAGCATTTCGATCGGCAATCGCTCAACTTCCGGTGCTTTGGCCGTAATCGCTGCTTCCTTCACTTCGCCGGTGACAATCCGCATCGGTGAGACGCCTCCTTGCAACTCTCATATATATTCTGTTTTGCACTAGCTACAGCAGTCCAGCATACCCAGAATTCTTGTGTAGAAGAACTGTACGTACGACTCCATATGCTTCCATGCATGAGCTACATATCAAGACACGTACAAGCTAGTAAGCTTATAGATGGACGCATGTCATTTTTATCTTGATGATATCAGCACTACATCATGTTGATGTCTTATACCTCCTATTTTTCTTCCCCAAAATATAATCCCAATTGTTCATATAAATGTCCCTTTAGCAATTTAACCGTTGAACTTCTTACATTTATCTCACTATTCATCATTGCCATCCTTCGTGCGAGTCCTTGATATCCGGTCATCATTCCTATATTGTGATTTAAATTATTTCTAAAAATATTTAGTTTATTTAAAATGCTACTTTTGCAATTATAATGAAGCGTAGTTCTCCCTATTTTTCGAGAAAAAAAAAAGAGTTCGACAATAGCACCTGTTTTTTGTTTCAGTTTCAGTCATAGTTTTAAATCTCCCGCTATAGCTACCGCTATAGCCTTTTAAAGCAGGGTGCTGCTATTTGTGTTCATGTATAATTTAGCCGTTATATCCCACTATAGCCTGATATAACTCCGCTATTAGTTGTTTTAGAGATATACTGCTAAACACCTTAGCCCGCTATTTAAAACATTGAGTAGCTATTGAAGTTTCTGTATCCAGTAGTTCAGAGCACTGGTTATTGTCAATTGTTCATCTGTTGGTGCTACCTACATCTTCTACTTGTCATGGTTTGTATAGTAAGTTAGAAGCTTAATAGATCATAGTGCATATTCACTATGATTCTGAAAAATCAAGTCAACATGCAACAATGCCAATTACACTTCTGATTACAGTCCATTCAACTTCAATCACAACCATTGAAGATATTTGCTGGATCTGAAAGGTAGTAGGATTGCTTTCTTTGTTTCTTTCATACAGAACATAGTTTGATTTCACTATCCAGTAGTCAAAAAATATTTAGTGCTGATGTTTTAATTTATATGTGATTCGTGTATCTTAATGTAACGAGCCCCAAATAGTTCAAATAAAAAACACAGTTAGAATTATCCAGTATCCACCGATTACTTTGTAATTTACAGTAGAGAAACATTGGTTTTTTCACTGTTAACTAGGGATGTTTTATGTATTGAGAGGAAACCACATCATTGTGATTTCTTACAATTACTTAAATTAGAGGACATAACGCACAACAAATCTGTTTTTTTTTCTTATAGCTGCCTTATATGGTACAGGTTGACCATCACAACTTACTGCTTGGGTTTGTATTGTGGGCAACCAACAGATTAACCATTCATTGTTTTACACATAACGAGGTGTCATGAACTGGCTAAAGGTTCTGATTGACATCAGTTGAGATTTGTTAATTTGGTATATGCAAATGTCTTGCAGAGATTACTGCCTCATACTAAATAAATGTTCAGTTTTTCAGATAGTTGGAGTTAACATCTTGGAAGGCCTTCCATGCACATTTGTGGTTGACAAGCATGTGAGATTTCTGATTCTTCACCTTGTGATGCACCTTAGTTCATGGTTTTGTGCTGTGCTAGGTGGATTATGGGGAGAAAGCAAACCACAACCAACAGGTAAGGGCGCCGTGGATTTGCTTCTGCTGCTTGACCTTTACCATCCAAGCTCATGGTTTCTTCCATGCACCTACAGAGGAAGGGCAGGGTTCGAGAAGAATCTGATCCTTTGTATGAACCTGAAGATATGAAGGAAACTGGAGATGCTGTACTTGATGAGGTATTTGCAATCAATTTTCTTAGGATTCATAAATTAATAGGCATACAAACTAACTGTGGTTTGTAGGATTGGGACTGTCCTTGGAAACTAACAAGTTACTTACCCTGCTCCTTAAGTACAAGTTGTGATTCTGCATCTCCCTTTCTTGAAAACATCATATTCTTCTTTTATTTTATGCAATGTCCTTGTGGAGTTCTGCAAGTTAATGATCTGCTGCCTTAGCCTAGCATATTCCTGCTTGTAGTGCTGCAAGTTTGCAAAAGTTCATTTAATAATATTTCTACTACTGCTGATTTCATTTAGTAATATTTTACCCCAGCATAGTCGTACTGAGCGGTGACTATGGGCAGATCGAGATGATTGTACCCTTTGAAAGCAAAAGTCATATGCTGGGGTAAAGACAATCATGCTTGCTGGTTGTAACTGTTTTTTTTTTTGGCTGTAATCTGTCCATAAAGTCATCTTGTCAAATATGCATGGAGTACTATCTCCAAGTCATTTTGGAGGTATAACTCTGTCACTAGGCAGTGGCTTCCTTTGATACTCAGTCCATTGGATGGGTGTGCAGTGCAACACAAAAGGCAGAGATGTCTTTTCTGTAAACTAGTGATACTCTGTCAGGAAAACATGGCACCCATTTATTGGGTTCTTCATTTTCTGAGAAATATGCTTTCTTATTGTTCTGCTTGCTTGTTCAATGTGTATAGGTGAATGTTGCTGAGTGTACTTTGAGTATGCAAAGGTGAATGTTGCTGAGTGTACTTTGAGTATGCAACTGATATATATTTTTAAACAAACGGGCAGCAAAGAAACAATCTTTTAGAATTTTTTTGTATCAGCTATTTGAAATGGATATGTTACTCACCTATGCTCTAATACAATAAGACTACTTTGGATATTTTGTCTTGTATTATGCAGAACATGCAGAGGAACATTTTGGCAACGAACACCATCACTGTAGGAACAAGAGGCCCAAAGAGAGTCTCCATGCCACCTGTTGGCCAAGACTAGTTTTGGGGAGCCTGTGAAGGAAGCGGTTGTAAGTACATGTCTAGGTTTTGTTTTTTGCTATGGTTGATAAGCATTATCAAAATTAAATGGACTGTTCTAGACTTGAAGTGGTATGGCGCCTGGCCTTGCTACGTAATGCGTATGGAGGAGAGTGGAGGGGCTGACTCTGGCGCTGGCGGCGGCGAGACGCCGTGGCAGCGCTGGAGGAAGCGAGGGGGGTAGAGAGAGATAGGGTTAGGGTGCCAGGCGCCCAAAGGTGTCAAGATGACACAATCCCAGGCTAATCTCATTAATTTGCATAGTTTGATTCTTATACAATCCGACCCAACAACCTGACGCTAGAATTAAGGAAACTTCTAATCAAATCAAATCTAAACAAACTGATAGCTGACCAAGTCTGGAACCTTGGCCCCTGGCCGCTGGTGGTGTCCCTGCCCGGCACGTGGTGTGGCTCAGCCACGTTGCTCGTTGGCTCGGCGTTCATACGTCTTGCCGACCATAACATCTCTCCCCCCCTCGGGAAACAGCTCGTCCTCGAGATGGAAGGAGGGGTGAGCTTCGCGAAACGCAGGGACCGGCTCCCAAGTCGCTTCTGACACCGGCATGCCCGCCCATTCGACGAGGACGTGCCACACGCCGCGGCGAAGTTCTGAGCGAAGGACGCGTTCTGGCCGCTGCAGCGGTCGACCGTGACGTAGAGGAGGTAGGGCCGGCGCACTGGAGGGCGGTGTACCCCGGCGCACTGGAGGGCGGTGTACCCCTGAATGGCTTCAAGACGCCGACATGGAAGACGTCGTGGATGCGTGCGCCCTCGGGAAGCTGAAGACGATAGGCCACCTCGCCGATGCGGCCAGTCACCTGGAACGGGCAGGCGTACTTGGGCGCCAGCTTGCCCCGGCCGCCAGGTACCAGATTCTTCGTGTGGCGGTGGAGCATCCAAAGGAGCACCCAATCGCCGACGGCGAACTCGAGCTCGCGGTGGTTGGCGTCGTAGAACCTCCGGGCCTGCTCTTGAGCTTGGAGAAGGCGAGCACGCACCTCCTCAAGGAACTCCTCCCGGTTTGTGCCCGCGAGAATCGGGAGCCTCCAAGTAGAACAAACGGGCACATTTGTGCCGACGAGCGAATGGCTCGTCGCAATTGTAGCAGAGGCCGAGCTTTTGGCGTTCCGCCATCTCCTCGGGTGTGAGCCGCTTGAATGCCTTGGTGGAGTCGGCCGTGGTTCCCGTCGCGGATGCTGGCATGGTCGACGGAGCGCCCCCTGGGCGGCGTGTGGCCTGCTGGGGAGCTGGAAGGGCCGGACGCTGTGGCGCGTTGCGACGTTCAAAGGCTCGAGCCAAATACATGGCGTGCTGAAGGTTCTGGGGCTGGTGCAGCTCAACATCCACCCGAGAGACCATGGCTGGATCCTACGCCGCCGTGTCCTTCCCACCACCACCATCTACCTCCACCTCGCCGCTCCAATCTGCGGCCTCCGAGGTCTCGGAAGGCTCGACGATGTCTGCTGCACCGCTCACGCTCGAGTCCTTGGCGGCTGCGATCATCGACATCAACCGCAACATCGCGTCCATGCAGGCGGCTTGGGCGGGACTCGTCCAGCAGCCCTCCCCCCCGCCGTTCTCGACGCCGCCGCTGTCCACGGGGCCGGCCGGATCCTACGCCGCCGTGCCCATCTCCACGCCGCTCGGCACACACCCTTGGGCTACGCTGGCCCTGTCCTCCGCAGCTCCGCCCGTGTTCACCACCGCCACAGCCACTGTGGCGCCCTTGCCTGCGCAGCAGCCTGCACCTTCCACAGGCGCCTTCGATGAGTGGATGGCGACCCTCGTCCATAACATTGGCGCACAGCCGGCGTCGGTGCCCTCATCCGCGGGCGCGCAGTCGGCGGGCCTCGTCCTCGGCGTGCCGGTGCCTCCATTCACAGGTGCACAGCCGGGCGATCAGATCGCCACTGCGGCAGCAACCGTGCAAGTGGCGCTTGCGCAGAAGAGTGATTGTCAGTCTGCGACGGTGCGATTACAGGCTGCAGCACGCGGCCTCCTAGCGCGGCGCCGACTGCAGGAGATGCGCCGGCAGATGCATGAGGCGGCCTTGACGGCGATGGACCTCGGCAAGGGGGGGCACGACCTCGCCCCGTCGAACGGCCAACAACAACCGCGCCGACCCGTTGCTGTCTCCAGGCGCGAGCATGGTGCTGTTCCCGCAGGCGGCGCACTCCAGTTCTATGGGAGTGATGATAGAAGAAGCGCACTCCTCTTTGTCACCGGCGGAGACGCACTGCCTAGCGCTGCCGCGTTTCGCTGTCGGCCGCCACGAGGTCGTCTCCGCTGGTCGCTGTTGCGATTGATTCCAGACAGCCGTACCCGTGCAACCCTCTCGTTTCGATGGTCTCCATGGGATCCAGGCGGCTACACGAGCCTGTCCAGCACGCGGAGGGTGTCCGCCGCATCTTCAGGAGTCAAGAATAAAGAGTCGAGTTTATTTGAAATAAGCCGAGATGTAAAAGGCTTGTTCTTAGGTGTTCAGTTTGTGTCTAGTGAAGCCATAGTTAGCATCATTGTTAGGTCGCAGCTCGAGGACGAGCTGCATGTCCAGGTGGGGTGTAGTGTTAGAGGAGTTAAGGGCCTATTGGGCCTTAGCCCATTAGAGTTAATTAGTCACTTGCTTAGGGGCCAAGTCAGACCTCTCTATATAATGAGAGGAGATGTATCAATCTAATCAAGCAAGAGATTAGAAGGAAATCCCTTCTCTCTTGCCGGCCGTGGGCGAAGCCCCGCGGCCGGCCTCCCCCAGCGCCCTTACAGCCCTAGCCGCCGCCGCCGTGAACAGTACCCGAGGACACTGTAGCTCCACGGTACTGTAGCACGCCCTATCATCTCCATCCCAACTGGCCACATAACATGAAGCTATTTTGTTGTTTCATTTCTTGTTCTAGGTGTACATCTATGTACCTCACTGATTTATTTGTACAAGATCCAGAGTTAAGTTGTGGAATTTGATGGACCAAACAGTAAACAATATTGTCAATATGCTGATGCCATATGTTATGCTTTTCTTATGAGTCAGCCATTGCTTGAAATTTTTGAACATTTGCATATATACTAATGCAAAGTATTTTTCTTACCATGCTAGGCTCAAATGGATGCCGCCATGGCTCAGCCTACACCAGAAGGGGAACAACCAGTGACTCCTATTGAAGATGTTGCCATCAAGTAAATTTCTTGGAAATGTTGGCCTTGAGCCAGCAGCCCCAAAGAGAAGCGCTACTGCTGCTGCACGTGTACTGGAGTTGGAGGTTCAAGTTGTGGCACAGAACCTGGTGGTCATCTTTTGTAGTGGTTGGTAATTAGTTTGTCGCTTGTATGAACCGCGATGTATATGTGTATATGACCTGAAAGTTGGCATGGAAGCACTGTTGTTAGTTGCTTTGTATGAACTAATGTTAGTTTGTGGCTATGTCAAGAACCACGAGATATATTTAGTAGTTGGTATGAACTAATGTAAATTTCGTGATTATGTTTGCCTCCAAAAAATTGACTAAATACATACTAGTATACTTAAGCAGGCAATTATTAGGCTGAGAACAAGAATATCCCAATATGCTAATAACATGAATTAAATTAGAATTGCATAAGTCTGCAGCATGGGAGACTACGTGTCTACGAGATCATCAGGCAAGATGAATTAGGTTGCAAGCATTGTCAATGCAGACCGCAAATATCAATTGACTGGATTAGGAAAAGATGCAAACATCAATAGCTGATTAGATCAACAACTGAGACATGATGAAATTAAAGTAGCTATAGCCAGCACGGCCATGCACTTGTTGCTCACCACGCGCTCGTCGTCAAGACCCAGCAATGATGAGGCCTGAGGCACCTTCCTTTCTCTCGCCGGAGGATTGAGGAGCCTCCTGATTCCTTGATCCATCGATGGGCGCCGCACCGTGCGCTGTCGCGTTGTTTTCCACGGTGATAGACGTCGGGAGTTGAGGGGGCGACAACAGTTCCTGTAAGCCGCTGGTTGAGATAAGATGACTTGTTTGAGTATGGGCCCTTTTGCTATACCGAAAGCCCACTAAGCAGAGGTGTTTCCAACAGTAGCATATTACAACGACACTAGGATTTTATAGCAACCAAACCGACATGTAAGAATAACAACATACTATTACCTCGCTTTAAATATTTAGTTGCAATAAACAGCTACCTATTACAATGGTCGTGATAAATATTACAACCAAACAAAATTGTGGCAATAGCAACAAACTATTACATCGCCTTGGAAATTTAGTTGCAATACACGGTCTATCTATTGCAATGGTCATAAGAAATATTCCAACCCAGGCACACTGTGGCAATAATTCCAAGCAATAGCAACACTGTTCTATATGGTTGCAAGAGCAGCTGATAGTTGCAAAACCAATCAATACTAATGCAACGAAATGTCATCATGGCAATATTTTTAACCTATAGCGACACATTTCAAAAAAGGGTTGCTGTAGGTCTCAGCTTAAAAATTGTAATGCACTATTTTTGTGGGAACACAGTCCCCCTATTGCCACCTTTTTGACAAATGTTGCAAAACACACCCCTACTACAACATAATTTGTGGTGATGTAAATAGCGTCAAGTGGCAATAGGGTCGAAATCTTGTAGTGAGAGGTGGCCTAGGAACTTTGATCGCTTGTCTTTGGGAGTTGCGTTCGGACTTTTGCTGTAATCTTCGTCTGGTCTGACGTATCGATTCATGACTTTGAAAAGTTCTTTTATTATGGCCGGTGGGTCTCGGGCGAAATGTGCCGCGCACTGCCCCGCGGCTAACCCATCTATGGCCGCTGCTATGACCGCTGCTTCTGGCACATTCACTACTATGACCTCTGCTTCTGGCACATTCGTTGCTTCTGGCAGATCTTTTCAAATAATCTGTTAGGGGCTCATCATCTCGCTGCACGCAATTCATAAGGTCTCTTGTAGTTTTCGCTCCCTGCTGATACCCTTGAAATATTGCTAAAAGTTCTGTTTTGATTTGTTGCCAGGAGTGGATTGAAAGGGGTTTAAATGAAGTATACCAATCGTGGGTGATGTCTTCGACTACTAGGATGAGAGATTTCGCAAAAGCTTTGGTGTCCCCACAAGCCGAGAAAACCGTTGTTTCATAACATGCCAAGAATTTCTTTGGATTGGTCTTTCCGTCGAAAGGCGGAATACGGGGCTTGTAGTTCTGCCGCCACGGGTGCCGCTGCAACTCTTTCGAAAGTGGTGATGCTAGGTCGAAAATTTCTCTGTCTTCATCCGGTAGGCCCATGCCCGGCAAAACAAAGTTTTCGTTGACCTGATTAATGCCTTCGCCGTCTGCTATCTAAAGCCTCTGAATTTCTATGACCAACCTTTCTCTGTGGATTTCGGCTTGACTGATGGTGTTCAGTGTTTGCTGTGCTCTATTTCGACCCGCGGCTTTCTGCAATAACTGGTCCCTCTACTACTGTAGCCTCTGGATCTCTTGTTGGCAAACGTCCAATCTTCTCAGCTCTCTTGCTTGGTCGGTGATTTTGCCATCTCCATCTTCATTTTCATTCTGATCGTCAGCTACTTCTTGAACATGGCCTTCCGGTGTGTTTGACCGCCCGCCGGGTGGCTCTGTTTTGCGATTCCATACCTGTGGTGCGTTTGGTTCCAGAGCATTTGGTGGTATCGCCACTGTCATTGCAGCTGTTGCTGCGGCGTTCCTACTGATTTAGCTGTTGCGGCAATGGCTGCTGCTTTGGATGTCTCCACATTCTCAGTGCCTGTCCTCGCTCCATTTTTGGGGGGCCACGGTAAGCTCGAGCAACAACCTTGGTGGGCGCCAAAGTTGTTCTAGGCCTTAGCCCTTGAACATTGGGTTGTCACTCAAGCGAATACACGGATAACCAAGTGGGAAGGAACAAAGGAAGTCGACATATTTATTACTGAAAGGATTAGGGTTCCATCCTCTCCCTTACAACCCATTCGTGGGGACTATTTATTCACGCCTATAGGTTTTTCATGGACCTCAATACAATCACAACTACTACGTATTCCGAGCATATTCCGTCCTTTTCCGGGTATCGACGCCAAATCCGGATAACACCTTCCCGGGTCACCACCGTCCTCCATCTTCCCGTCTGGTCCCCACGTTATACTCTCCCTTCCGAACTCATGGGCCCAACCAGGCGAGGACTTATCGGCGCTTCATGTCCCAGCGACCATTCGCCAGCGTGAAACCTGCAAGCATAAGAACCCGCAGAACCGGGGATCAGAGTACACCTTTGCTTTAGACCCGCCGCAAGCCAATTGAACATTTCGTTGAGGCGAAGTGCCGGACACTGTAAAGGCCTCCAGCCGTTGTTCTGCTTTCGCAGAGTAAACGCCGGTCACCATTTCGCCCTATCGAAAGGATGACAAGGGTCATCGGCCTGCGCTTGACTGATAACCCGTGCTGAAGTGCTATTTTGCCCAAGCGAAATTGTAGTTTGCTGTGTTGGCCACTTCCTGCATAATGTCACCAGTTGGAACGTTATTTTGCCCAAACGAAATGCCAAATGCCGGGTTTTGGTTGTCTTCCAATAACAGTGTGGGTAGACCCGCCATTTCGCCCTCGCGGAATGGTGACGCAGGTTGTCATTGATGGTGCATGAAGGTAAAGGACCGTGTGGGGCTCCAAGGGTTTGACCTTGCCCCCAACAGTTTGCTTGTTACTACTCCGACAAAGGAACAAAAACTTCTAATATCCATGATTGATCACAATAACTTTTAGGCCATGATGTACTGCATTACAGAGTTTGTGTACAACAAGTATTTTTTACAAAGAAACATTTTTTTTACATAAATTAGACTTGCATGGTCTTCGTCAAAAGATAATTGGTCCATACAGGTCTGTTTGGTTAAGATATGGCTGTACGGAAAAGTCGTTGTGGGCTATGAGTTGAAAAAGTTGCCGTGAACTATGACATGTGGAAAAGCTGAAAGTTGTTTGGTGGAAACTAAGTATAAATTATACCTCCTATCTTTGTATCCCTTGAAACAACTATGAAAGAGTTCATTCCACTTATTTTGAAAAGCAGAAAGACAAAAGAGGGTTTAAGGTGTTTTCAAAATCGGTAAATCTAAATAGCACTCGAGTGATTTCTGACCTCTGCGCACTCGATTTCATGTGCATTAGATGCACGCGATTGATGACCATCGAAGCTCCCCTACGTGTGGACTCTAGCACCGTAGCCCAAGGCAGGCCCACGCGCATCTCTCTTTGGTAGAAACAACAGCCGCATGCCGCCTCGGCCCTTGTGCCCGAGGACCACGCACATGCATGCCACCCCTCGGCCATTGTGCCTCTATTAGACCCTACCATGGATGTATGTGTGTATACGGTTTCATTGTTTTAGTAGGAGCAGATTATATCTTACTGAACCATATTTTACTTCTGTTTGGGTGTAAGTTATATATTTAATTGGTGTAAATTGGTTTATTTGTAAACAAGAATAGTCAGAATTACGCGAATAGTTATCTGATCATTTTGTTTGCTTTTTTTTATTTTCAGTATGTTTTATTTAGTTCCCTTTAAAATTTTCCAATTTGGCTTTCATAGAAATATCATGGCTAATTTGTTTTTTTTTAATTTAATATTTTTATATTATTTGGATAATATTTTTCTATTTAATGTGGACCCAATAGTCATGAGAATCAAGTGTTCGATGGACTAAAAACACTCAGATTTTTGTTTCTGGTACTATAGGGTGTCAAATCCACCTAAAACACCTGAGTAGGGCGTAGACAGCCCACATGCTTCCGAAGAAACAATCACTTTAGTTGGGCTTTGGCTTTTGAAAAGAAACAGCTTAAAAGCCTAACCAAACAGACCCTTAAATGACCTTATTTTGCCACCAAATTGTAGATCTAGTATGCTGAGCATCTAATGAGCTCCTAGATCGATGTTAGAAAGAACCGAACATCAGCCATTAGTAAACCGCACGTCGTTTGGCTCGGGAAAGCCTTATTTCAACACACACGAGTTACATGCAAGATGAACAATCCACAAGTTACTAGCAATCTAACATGTTCTTATTACCCTGTGACCACAGAAGAAAACTCGGCATCACGGGCCGGTGCTTAATGGAGATTCGTCTCCATCATTTCGTCAGTTGTCGACTTTCCTCTTATTCACTTGGTGAGGACACCATTGGAGACAGCGGCGTCGGTGACAACAGGGTGGAGGAGGTGGACATGGGCTCATGGACGACGGTGTTGGTTGAGACAGCGATCGGGTTGCCGTCCAACTGCAGCATGATGGCCCCAAGAAACTCTGTCAGCAGCTTCTTGAACTCTGCTTCGTCCACCGCCTTCAGGTCATCAGCTTTCGCCATCTTGAATGCTTCGTTCACCACAGCATCCACCTGTTGTACGTTTGTTTGGAAATCCATGTGTATATATCGATTATTTTAGAAGGTTCCAACGTTTCATACTTAGTGCCTGTGACGGTGCTACGGATAGCATGAACGGCTCTGCAACGTACCTGATCAACTGCTCCAAAAGGTGGGAGACTCGCCGAATCCGCAATCCTATCAAGCGCAATCCGGAGGTACTCCTTCGAAGTTTTATCTTTGTGTTCTTTCGGAACGTGTCTCCATACAGAATCCAGCAGCTACAATAAGTTCAGTGATGTATGTTGTTTGTCAGTGGTGTCGTGTATAACTGACGACTCATCAAGAAAGTGAAACTGGCCAAACTGCTCAAGTGTACTTGTCATATAGTACGTACCTTGTCGAATTCGAACTTGTTCGACAGTAGCCTCCTGATACCACTCCCGTCAAAGGTATTCTCTGTATGGGCGACGATCACAGGGTGCTGTTGCAGTCTTAGAGCGATGATGCCCAGAAATTTCCTGAATTCTTGGAAGAAGACTTCCTGGGAAACAGGCTGATCGAGCTGATTAGCAGACAGTTCTTGCAACGCAGGCTCCACAACATTCTCCATGACCTGTATCCAATAAAGCACCCAATCATATATACGCTAGTTACTACATATGTCCAGACTCTACAGAATACTACTGTGCCATCTCAGTTTCCCTACCCAAAGAGCATGGAGTAGTAACATCTGTCATTAACTACCAAGTCGATCTTCACCTCTGACGACAAAGGCTAAATGTTACTAATTCGTGGTAAATATTGAGTACAGTGTAGTCGTTGAATTACCCAGGAATCAGAAGCTGGTGGCATGCCGTGGTCGACCCTGAGCTGTCCAAGAACGGCCAACAAGCACTGGCGCAGCGTTGCGTTGTCGGCATACCCCACTTGTGAAAATATGGCCATGGCTTCAGGCTCATACCTCCGACTCTCAACGAACTCATTCAGGTCCTCCCCGTTTATCCTAAGGATCACAATCGGGTCCCTCTTCAGCCCAGCCGCCATCCCAAGGAGTATGTCGGACAGCACGCGCTGGAACTCTGGCTTGCTCACAGAGTCTTGCTTCCCGTGAGTGAACTCGTTTAGGACCTGAAGTGCACAATGTAGATTAATGACTTAATGTATACGTTGGTATGTAGTAATTTACACGAACTGTGCTATGGCCTATGGGAGTGCCCCAGCAAAGCCCAATTTGCACAAAATTAAACAACAGGGTTATTTCGTAACTCAGAATGTTCTACTACTCCTATAAGCGACTGCCTGTGGTGGACAACCTTCAAGAGATCGTTTTTTTTATGAGTTGCCTTCAGGATATGGTCACGACGGTGAAAAGAAAACAAAACACTACAGCTGCACTGCAATGATCTACTGCAAGAAAATTCTGTAGACCGGATACTCCCGGAATTCTCGACTTAGATTGAAAGGAAACAAAGGGTAATTGCCTGGTGACGCAGCACAGAGACTTCACTAATCACTGGTTTTGTCAATCTAGCTGGTTTTGGCGAGAGAGTGACATTTTGCATTGGAAACAGGCACGTTCCAGGACTCAGCCTGCATTTTGTAATCGATTTATTTTGGGGAAACCTATATTAACAACAAGACCTACATGAATTTTTTCATGGTATTAGTATTGTCAACCCTTAGCAAGCTAAGTGGCTGGTGTTTACCGATCGCATCTAGAAATGAAATAGGAGCCTCCCTAAAAAATGTATTTAAGAGTCGGTTCATTAGCTGGGACCTCTAGAAGTGCATCTGTAGGGACTTCTCTAAGGACCGTTTCAAGCCGGACTTGAAAAAAGAAACGTATCCCAAAAATCATGTATAGTAGTTCAAACCGATATCTATGACACACGGAATAAGTAACGCGCAGTCAGTCATGTTATGGTTGAGTTTTCAATAATCCCGTGGTTTATATAAATTGCCAATTTTGACTTTATACTATGTAAAAGTTTGACTTTATTATGTATCTAGACATAGTATATCTTAGTATATAACAAAAGTTATGAATCTAGAAAAGCTAAAATATCTTATAATTAGGAACTAAGGGAGTATTAGATATTCTTGAGTCTTAAGTAGGAACAGTAAAATACCAAGCTGTGGATGCATATAAAAGGGAGTAAACATATACTATATACGACCCGAACTCTACGCTTTGGGCTCCATTTATTTTGTGTTGTTTGATCGAATATAATGTCACTTGTTCACTCTACAACAAGAATCTTGGCCGAGCCACTCTGAAATTCGTCCTGTTTGCTGGTTGGTTTCTAGACTGATAAGCCCGGCTCGTGTTGATTTGTTGAGAGAGAAAAACACTGTTGGCTGGCTGATAAGTCCTGGTTAAAACCAACAAGCGAATAGGCTGATTATTTAGATGTAATCCATGAAGCTCCGAGCCTACCTGATGCGTACTTTTTAATAAAGCTATATTATATATAGGCGTGTTTGGCTCAGCTAGCTAATTATATATTTGCTAGGACTGTAAAATAGGTTAAATTAGATGGCTGACAACTAGTTACAGGCTTAGGTAAAGAAAAGAACATGTATATTTGATAGGCTACGACAAAAAATACTGTAGCTGCTATCCATTAGCCCTGTGCATCCAATCCGAACAGGACCGACCTGTCCATGACGTGAATACAAAGATACTGTAGCTAGCAAAACAGAACTGTAATAAGCTCGTATGTACATAGATTGGTACCTCCGCGTAGATGTGGTCCGCCTGCGGCGACGACCCTCTCGCCGGCAGCCCTATGGCGGCACCGATGTCAGCAACGGCCGGCTGGAGCTCTTTCACCGACAGCCTCCCGTCGCCATCAGCGTCGAGCTTCCGGAATCGGTCGTCAACGAACCTAGTGAACGCCTCCTTGTTCTCCACGAGAGTCCAGATCTCCGAGCCGTCCTGCACCTGCAGCACGCCGTTCCTCTTCCTCCTCACCTGCTGCTGCTGCTGATGCTCCGTCGGCGCGCTAGCTACGCGCTTTTATATATAGCACACGAGGACGAGCGAGGGAGGTGGAAGGAAAAAGGCGAAAGGGAAAGCTTGCAAGTTACAGGGACAATGGGGACGCCGGCCGTGGGTTCCTCGTGACGCGGGCGCGATCGAGATGGCCTGCTGGTGGCAAAGTGGCTAGAAAGATGAGGTATTCACGAGCCGCAAGCCTGAAACTAGCTATTAGTTGCTATAGAAGATGGATCTTGATGTGTCTTTTTCTTTGGGCGTGATGAGCTAGATATGCGATTTAATTTGTTATTGTGTGGATGAGATGGATAGACAGACGAAATTGTTGGGCCCGCTTCTAGCGTGGTTCCATTCCATGATTGGTGCCTTTTATAGTTCGTCGTCAGTTTCGGGTTGAGTGTGAGCTCGGATGCGAGACGAAAGAGGCCCCAAAGACGAGGATGGCGCCTGCTGCTGCGCTGGGCGCTTCCAGACGCATGCAAGTACTGTCTTGTACTCTACTGTTTTTTTCCCGTTTTCCCGTAGTTTATGCATATAGGAAATGTTAAGGTTAATAGAAGATAAAAAAGCCTCTATTTTTTTTAGCCCCTCTAAATTTTTTTGTGGCTTCGTCCGTGCCAATGTTGCGTGACGGAGTTGGTGACGAGAACCAGAACATTCCTGAGCGAATACATGTGTGTCTCGTGGCCTCATGGGCGTGGACCAAGAGACACGTCCAAGATGCTGAGATATATTTTTTTGACCACAAGATGCTGAGATATTGAATGTGTTTTCTTCAATGTGTACTCTCTCAGTTCCAACACTACTACGGTTTGATGAAGAGATCATTGCGAGAGAAATTACATATATTTCTAAAAAATATAATCATAGTACTTTAAAAGGAGAGAGTAGAAAAAAAACAATTAGAGTTAGATTGTCCCATATCTAAAGATACACCTATTTTCCAATAAAAAAAAGATGCTCCTATTTTGTGATAAATTTTGAACTCTAAAAATATACTTATTATGGGATGGAGGGAGTAGTGCCGAGAGTTTTTTATTTTTCTAGGAATTTTTTATGTCAAATTAAAAAATATACCATGATAGGTATAATTGTAAGAGTGATGCCGAAAAACAATCCTGAGAAATCGTATACCAGTTAGAGAATAAGCTGATTTCATCATCCAATAAAAACTCAGTATTGATAGTGCCTGCATGCCAGGACGTTGTTCGCGGTCCTTAACACCAATTTCTAATCGCCAACCTTCACATAAAATATGCTCAAATAAACAATAAACTTAGAATTATGGTTTATAACTAACGAATTTCACAAGTTTTGGTGATTATTCACTTACAGGAGGACATATTTGAATAACATGGAAAATATGCTTAAAGTACACAAAGAATACAACAAAACATAGACCCGACATGAGCCCAAGGGGAGCAGGCTCATTACTAGACAAATCATGGCCTAGACGAGTGGAGGATAAGCCCATAACCGAGGCAAACCACTTCAACTCAGAGCCAAACCGTCATGGGCCGAGTCACAAACCTCACTGGAGTTCACCCACCGAAGATGGGGGCGGTTGGGCCCAGCCAGGGTGCGGGCGCACCCCCAGCTAGCCCAACTAGCCCCATCTCACGTGGGCTACCTCTTACCGCCTTCCAAAGGTCGGTTGCTGAGGTTTCGACTAGATTCAACGTACCCAGAAGTCGGTTTGATGGTATCTTGAGAGAATCAAGGGAATATTCCAAGGGACCTCCTCCCATCTCCACCTATAAAAGGAGGCCACCCCCTCCTCATTTGAAACAACACACCAAGGAGCAAGAGCACCACACTTGAGCATCATTCCAAGGGCTTAGGCCCTAGATAGAGTAGACTTGGTTAGGGAGAGATGTGAGAGAAGAGCTCGGGGAAGTGCTAGACTTGTCGGTGCCTCCCCATCTTTACCTCGATAAACACATGTGCCTTGACAAATCTTTTGCTAAGTAAGTGTTCGTGGTTCTTATGGTTATAAGTCTTTTGATTAGTTAAGCTTTGCTCTTATTTGCTTGTGGGTTCGTCGTCTGTTCTCGTATTGGATACTCTAGTAGAGGGCCTTGATGAAGACGGATAACCCTGTGCGACACTAGAGTAGTAATCGATAGCATAGACATGGTGTCTAGGCTAGAGGTCACCTTCGTTTGCCTCGTTCTCCACGGTTGAGGGGTAGGCGGCAGGTGGTGACAGTCCTGTCCGTCCCTTGTAATCCCCCACGTTCTGGTTCGACGTAGAGCTACAGGCTGGGATCGCTATTGGTATTTCTTAATGCAAACAGAAATAATCCGCAAGTGCACGGAATAACAATTGTAGCACTTCACCCGAAAGTATTCAGGGTATCATATTTTTTCATGAGGAATGGAGGTACTCTTCTAACTAGTTCATCCAAGGACAACACAACGGTAGAATTGGTAGAGGTTGAGATGGATTCCTATGGTTTTAGAGTCTATGGACAGATAAACTCTACTTTTACTTGCTCACTTCGGGCACCGGTGAACACCTAGTCTGCCAAGCATTGCCACCCTTTAACTCTATGCCGAACCCTAATGTGGGGGATTACGAGAAATGGACAGGATTGTCACCATTTGCCACCTACTCCTCAACCGTGGGGCACGAGGCAAACGAAGGTAGCCTCTAGCCTAGACACCACGTCTACGCTATCGACTACTACTCTAGCGTCGTATACGGTGATCTATCTCTATTAGGAGCCCTCTACTAGAGTATCCATTACGAGAACGGATGACGAACCTACAAACAAGTAAGAGCAAATCTTAGCTATTCTAAGACTTAATTACATAAGAAACATGAATACTCACTTAGCGGGAAAACCCGTTGAGGCACATGTGTTCATCGAGGTACAAGCGGGGGAGAACCGATAGGTCCGGCACTATAACACCCTTGTGTTAAGCATACATTTGGCATTGGCATTTCATGAGCACAAGCATCATTGATCATTCATGAGCATGCACATCTCAAATTGTATCTGTATAATTGCCTATATTACATGTGTTGTCGCTAAATGCTTTACATATGCTAGGGTTTACATGTGACCAATATATAAAATTCTTGTGGGACCTTACGAGTACTCTAAACATGTTTATAACGTCATATGGAACAACTTTGGTATTCATGACTTGGACCAATTTGGCATCTAAGTCATGGTTATAGTGTAAAATACCATTTTCAAGTTGTAGGTTTGACCTAACTTGAACTATAGCATAGAATGTTTGCATGGAAGTGCACCCTTAAGCAAAGATGTAGTACTTGACAAGGGTAATAACTTTTATTTTTGGGTCAAGATCTAATTCTATGTTTAACATGGTCAAATCGTGCTCACAAAAGTCAATGCAGTGCTGTTTTGAAGACTTATACAAATTTTTCTGTCTAAAATGCGTTACAGTTTCAATGTACTGATGTTTGTCGTGCTATAGCTCGTAAACTAGGCTGATTCATATCAAACTCATTTACGCAAAGTTGGAGTACTTATGAAACTCTACAACTTTGATTCTTATAGTTTTCGCTGAATTGCCACGGATTTGGAGTTATTTGATTGTGAACTAGCGCTGTCAGTCGGACCATGGATGGGACTGAATCAACTGACTGGATTCAAACCGGCGCGGTCATGGCTGACCGTGCGTAGCGCACACCTGCCGCGTGGCACCCGTACGCCACTGTTGGCCCTGCCATGCCATGCCGAAGTAGATGAACCCAGCGTCGTGCTGCTGCTGCTCCCATTTCGCATCTTGCTCGCTGCTCTCTTCTCGTGCCCACCACTGAAGCATCACGCTCGCCGTTGCCGCCACTGTGCTCCGCCACCGCGTAGCACTGTCGTCACTGCACCACCGTCCAATTTAGTTCGCCAGCAACTCTGCCGTAGTCAGCTATTCCACCCGACCAACTTGTCCCTCTTGTAGAACCAGGGTAAGGTCGTATTTTGCTTCGCCGCCACTGCGCCAACACCGGAGCTCCATCGCGCTCGTGGCTCACCGTGGCTGTGCCTTTCCCCGCACCTCTTGTCCTCCTCTTCATCGGTCTGTAGTCATCTTGTGGTCCTTACGCTTAGGTAGTTGCTTGCCTGACGCTACTATGTGGTCATGCGAGAACTCGCCGTCGCTCCCGCCGTGGCCGCCATTGCCGCCGTGGCAATTGAGATTGCCATCACCGAGCTGAGCCATCGCCTTCTATCTCTTTCACGTGCATTAGGATGAGTAAGCCGAGACCTAGTGTCTGGCATGATAGAGACCTGCCTCTCACCGCCATCTCGCTGGAACACCATGAGCACCGCCATGCTCCATGCGCCGCCTTGCAGGCATGCACGCGGTTAGAGTTCACCGTCCCATCACCGGAACCCTAGCCACCTAGGTTAGCTCCGATAGGTTACCACATAGCTGTAGAGCACCTCACCGGAGCATATGGTGGCCGAAGGATGTCGACATACTGCCGCACGACCACTGCCGTCCACCATTGCTGCCGGCAAGCTACTTCTGGTCAGCTTCCAGGCTAGCTAAGCACACCTATCGACGTGGCTTGATGAGACGAGCATGTAGGTGTTGTCGTCGTCGCCGAAGATCTCACCACCGGTGAGATATCACTGGTCGGAGCATCTCCTCTGTTCTCGCGTCGCTGGCGTCTGGGTCCCACTGACTAGCG